TTTTTTGCAGTTTTTGGCCAGGGCTGGGTTTGAACCCACCACCTCTGGCATATGGGGCCAGCACCCTACTCCTTTGAGCCACAGGCACCGCCCGAGGTGCAATTTCTTTATCTTCAACAGAGAGATTACAGAGTCCTGTTAACAGGATTGCTATGGGTATTACAGGAAATGGTGTTTGCTAAAACATCTAGTACAGAGTTCAATAGACACTTAAATGAACAGCAAAACAGTACAATGACAAAGCAAGAAATCTCTCCCTTCACAGAAAAGTAAAAACATCTCTTTTTTTCACATCCTCAAAATAGTAAACTAACAAGAAAGAAAATGCTTCATTTGGGTTAACCTGGTTTTAAAGGGAACACAATGTATAAGGCTGCATTTCTCAAACGCGCACACACACACACACACATTCTAAAGGCTGTAAGGTCTCCTGAAATAAGAAGTTGTTTAACTTATTTAAGCCAGTGGTCTCAAACTTTATTTGGTCACAGAACTCATTTTTTGTTTTTAATCTATTAATATCTCATAGGATTAATTTTTGTTGTTTTTTAGTTTTTATGCTTTCACAGAACAGAATTTGGGGATAGTAGTATAGAAGAATTTTGAGCCGCACTGTATGTGTATGATGCCATATGAACAGCATCAGTTCTTACCGACAATCATTAATTAAAGAAATCAAAGTTTAAGCTATACTTACTAATTTTATTACTATTTTATAAACTTTAAGGGAATTAGAAATTCTAAATTTGAAAATTATTTTTCAGTATTTTGATATGAAAGTTTGTGAGTTGGATATAGACTTTAAATGTCAGGCCACTTGTAGAACTTTTTTCTTTCTTTTTTTTTTTTTTTGCAGTTTTTGGCCGGGTCTGGGTTTAAACCTGCCACCTCAGGCATATGGGGTCGGCACCCTACTCCTTTGAGCCACAGGCACCACCCTTGTAGAACTTTTTTGTCTTAAAAACATGCAGTGACTAAATATTTAAGCCATATGCTTTAGCTCTACGTGGCTAATAATAAACAATAATTATTACATGGCCTTTCCAAGAAAAGAATCGATCCGGAATTCAAGCTGCCATTACTTACATTCAATTAAACCCCTCTTCCTTCCCATATGTATTACAAGGCAGAGATAAACCAAAACAAATCATTTACTATTTTACTATTATCCTACTAGTTTTACTTACCTAATATTTTCACAGCATAATGAGGACTTTCTAAGACAATTCCTTCCTCTGTATCAAATATAGGGTTATCTATTCCAGTCTTTGGAGGAATCTGGGCTAGTTTCTTAAGTCTCATGGAAGAATTAAGGTCAAGTTCTTGCTTTTTCCCTTCTTCCTCTCGCCTACGTCTCATGTCCTCCTGTTGCTGTCGAATACGCTCCAACTGTGCACTCCGACGTACTGGCATCATCCTGTTGCCCAAATCTCCGGGGCAGTCGACAGCCATCTCTCGGTGTTTCTGATGTTCCTCTGGTGATGCAAGATCAACATTTTTTACTTCGTGGTCTGATTCCTCTGTAACATGCCCATTCATATGGGATGTTGTCATGGTTATCTATAAAAACCTGTATCACTTTTTATAAATCAATTTTTCCTATTAAGCCAATTCTCTTCATTCTGTAGTATAAAATCCATGTTACTTCAAAAAAAAAAAAAAAAAACTTCTCACATCATATAATAATGCTATGAAAAATATCCATGAAGAAAATCTAAGGGGAAAGATAGGGGGGAAAAGTATAAGAATTACGATATAAAAGCAGATTTTACATAACCCACTTCCAATCTCCACATAATATAGAAAATATCTAATAAATATATAATATTATTTTCTATATAAATTAAGTACCTTCCTTTCACTTAATAGACATTGCTGAGGAAATTTTTAAAAAGCTCACTCTCCCTCACTCATATGTATGTATTTGAAGCATACATTCAATTACACAGCTGAAAAAAAGATACACACGTTATTGAAAAGTTTTACAAAGTGGGAATGTAAAAAGTTTTGGGTACTAGCTTGGTAGAGAATAGGTTACCTAAAGTGTAAAAAGGTATTTTAACCTTTTTTTTTTTTGAGAACAGAGTCTCACTATGTCGCCCTTGGTAGAGTGCCGTAGCATCACAGTCATAGCAACCTCAAACTGTTGGGCTCAAGCGATTCTCTTGCCTCAGCCTCCCTAGTAGCTGGGACTACAGGTGCCGCCACAACGCCCGGCTATTTTTTTGTTGTAGTTGTCATTGTTGTTTGGCAGGCCCGGGCTGGGTTTAAACCTACCAGCCCAGGTGTATGTGGCTGGTGCCCTACCTGCTGAGCTACAGGCATTGAGCCTTAACCATCTTTTAATAGTTGTCTCAACACAGAGTCTTACGTTTAATTAATAAACATGAGATTGAAATAAATTTTAAATCTTTAAACTCTGAAACAAATTAACTGCTAAAGAAATTGATGACAATCTATTTGATATAGCAACCACATCTGTGGCTCATGTGACATACAGGCAGTATTTCATTTTTAGGAGTTTTTGAGATGAAAATGCCCAGTGAACAAGAAATTTTAATTAGCAGCTGAAGCATCTGCATTAAATGAGAACAAGATTATAGGAATTATCAATATATCATGCCTGGGAAGTACAGAAGAAGGGAAGGGAAGGGAAGAGAAGGGGAGAGGAGGGGAAGTGAAGAGGAAGGGGAGGAGGAAGGGAAGGGAAGAAGGGAGGATGGAAGGAACAAGAAGAGAGACAGGGAGGGAGGAAGGGAAAGGAAGGAAGTGGAAGGAGGAAGGAGCAAGAAGAGGGAGAGGGAGGAAGGGAAGGGGGGGTGGGAGAAAAGGAGGGAGGGAGGGAGGGAGGAAAGGAGGGAGGGAGGAAGGGGCAAGAAGAGGGAGAGGGAGGAAGGGAAGGGAGGTGGGGAGGAAGGGAGAAAAGGAGGAAGAGAGGGAGGGAAAGGAGGAAGGAGCAAGAAGAGAGAGGAAGGGAAGGGAAGGGGAAAAGGAGGGAGGGAGGGGAGGAAGGAAGCAAGAGGCAAGAAGAGAGAGGGAGGAAGGAAGAGGGAGGGAGGGAGGAAGAGAAGGGAAGGGAGGAAGAAAGGAAGGAAGGAATTGTTAACTCTTTATAAGGATTACTTTAAAGAAAATGATAGTAGCTGTTACCACTCAAAAAATTTTAGAAGTCATACTATACAGCAAATAGAATGTATTGAACTTGGAGACAAGAAAACTGAATTTTCACTGTGGCTCTGCCATATCCTCCAGCTTTATGATTTAAAATCAGTCATCTTCTCCCTTTGAACCTCAGATCCACTGGTTGGATTGAGGGTTTTTTGTTGGTTTGGGGTTTTTTTGTTTTTCTTTTGAGACAGAGTCTCACTCTGTCACCTTAGGTAGGTATAGTGCCACAGAGTCACAGCTCACAGCAACCTCAAACTCTTGGGCTCAAGTGATCCTCTTGCTTCAGCCTCCCAAGTAGCTAGGATTTAGAGATGGAGTCTCACTCTTGCACAGGCTGGTCTGGACCTCCTAAGCACAAGAGATCCGCCCACCTCAGCCTCCCAGAGTGCTAGGATTATAGGCACGAGCTACCATGTCCAGCCTAGTTTTTCTATTTTTAGTAGAGATGGGGTCTCACTCTTGCTCAGGCTGGTCTTGAACTCTTAAGCTCTAAGGATTATGGGCATGAGCCACAGTGCCTACACTGTTTTGCGTTTTAATGAAAATATAACTAGTAGTATTAGAATGATTCTTATATTTTAAAAATCATTCAACACATTTTAGATAAGAGAAATATTTTACATGAGGACACTGGCGTTTCATCAAGCCATTTCTCAGGCATAAATAGGCAGATTGTTTATATATGTGTAAACCCACACATTAAATCTAATTAGTCTCCTTCCACTCGAGACTTAAAAATATTTACAATAATAAACCTACTACCTCCTTGAGTTGAACCATTACTTCATAAACAGGTCGGTCAGCACAATGTTAACTAAGCAAAAGCCAGGTTTCCAGATAATATCTGTAATGCCAGTCATCTTTCCTCAAACATCTTAGGTCAAACACAGAATGCTTAATACAAATCCATATAGGCTACAAAGAAAACCACTATGCCAGTGGTTCTCAGCCTGTGGGTTGAGACCCACAGGAACTGTATTAAAGGGCCGTGGCATTAGGAAGGTTGAGAACCACTGCACTATGCCAACAATCCGAAGAACGAATGCAAGCCACACAGGCTGCTAAAGTTACATTTTCATGAGATTTCTGGTAAACGTTTCTGTCTTCCATCCAAATTTTAGCTTTGTTTATTTATATCTATGTGATCTACAATATGTACCTTATTTACCATTAGATTATTTTCTCTTTCATTAACACAAGAGCTGTTTTGATCTATTAAGTTTATGACAAGTTTTTTATGTTAATTATATACAAATGCAAATTCAGCTTTCTTAATGTTTTCATTACAAGTGAGCAGAAATTCATGTAAGAAGTACTCCATACTGTGGCTCAAAGAAGTAGAGCACCGACCCCATATGCTGGAGGTGTCAGGTTCAAACCCAGCCCCAGCCAAAAACTGCAAAAAAAAAAAAGTACTCCAGTGCTACACTTAATTTTAAAAATCCAGAAGTATACATTATTTTCATAAAATTAAAACTCTGGCTATTAAAAATTTAATAGTGTTTTTTTAATTAATATAATGCTAGTCTATATAAGTTATAAACTAAAATTAAAACTTAACAACTCTAAGGCTGTGCCCACATTTATCATAAGGAAAAATGACAAGTCCCAGAAGAGAGACTGGGCCAGATGATCTGGATCAGAATTCTTATGCTTGGACTATTTATTATCATGCATGTCTATATGGTTATGGTCTTTTACTCTCAAAAAAAAAATCCTGCAACCTAATAATAATCTGCTTAAAATTCCATTTTGGCTACTTCCCCAAGAGTGTTCACAGTCTATTAGGAGAGACAGAAAAGAAAATTAAATGATTTTTCTTCCCCAGATGAAAGATTCAGGATCTGTTGAGAGACAGGGGTCATGTCTGATTTTCATACTCGTAGCACTTAGTACAATATAAATTATATAAGGAATGCCCAGGAAACAATTTGTTCAACTAAATTTAAAATATCATAAATTCATTAAGGATGTACAGATACTGGACTATAAAACTTAAGTTTGTGATAAAAGGTGGCAGGAAATACTCAATACATAAGGATACATTTCTTTGAGCTGCATTTCAAAGGATAACTAAAAATTAAGTCAGACAGAAGCAGTTCTGTTCCAGGCAGACAATCACATAACCAATAGGAAGGAAGAGATTTGAGTGGCACTTTAAAAAAGACAGAATAGAATGCAATAAAGCTGGATGTATCAATGGGAGTATGCCATACACGAATAATGATAAAACTGGAAAGGCAAGCAAGAAGCCAGACTAATAAGATTTTTTAGACCTTTATCCTGAACATCCTAAAAATAATTATAAGACTTTAAGCATGGGATGACATGATCACATCACATTTATAGAAATATCATTCCAAGTGAAATATAGAAGATTTATTGAAGGGTAACAATGAGACCAGATTAAAAGCACCTATAAGAAATAGGGCCCTGTGGACAGTGCCTGTGGCTCAATGAGTAGAGTGCCAGGCCCATATACTGATGGTGGGTTCAAACCCGGCCCCAGCCAAACTGCAACAAAAAAATAGCTGGGCGTTGTGGCAGGTGCCTGTAATCCCGGCTACTTGGGAGGCTGAGGCAAGAGAATAAGCCTAAACTCAAGAGCTGGAGATTGCTGTGAGCTGTGATGCCACAGCACTCTACCAAGGAAGACAAAGTGAGACTCTGTCTCTTAAAAAAAAAAAAAAGAAAGAAAGAAAGAAAGAAATAGGGCCCTAACTAAGATGCAGGAATGAAAAAAAGTTATATTTAAGAAATACGGCTCAGCACCTATGGCTCAACCGGCTAAGGCGCCAGCCATGTACACCTAAGGTGGCGGGTTCGAATCCCCAGCCCAGACCCGCCAAAACAACAATGACGGCTGCAACCAAAAAAACCAAAAAATAGCCGGGCGTTGTGGCGGGCGCCTGTGGTCCCAGCTACTTGGGAGGCGGAGGCAGGAGACTCGCTTGAGCCCAGGAGGTGGAGGTTGCTGTGAGCTGTAATGCCACGGCACTCTACCCAGGGGGATAGCTTGAGGCTCTGTCTCAAAAAAAAAAAAAAAAAAAAGAAAGAAATACATGAGAGGTTGGGTATTGAGGCTCAGGCCTATAATCCTAGCATACTGGGTATTCAAGGAAGGAAGATTGCTTAGCTCAGGAGTTAGAGAACAGCCTGAACAAAAGTTAAGACCCCATCTCTACTAAAAATGGAAAAAATTAGCTAGGCAGATGCCTATAAGCGCCAGCTACTTGGGAGACTGAGGTAGGAGGATTGCTTGAGTTTAAGGTTGCTATAAGCTAGACTGATGCCATGGTACTCTAGCCTGGGGCAATAGAAATCTGTAGGATACAGAATGACCATCTATTTCATATAGCAGAACAAAAATAGAAAAAGAAACATTTGTTTCTCCTCCTCCCATAAAGGAGGAAAAGAAAAGAGGAATAGTAGTAACGCTAGTAACAACAACTACAACTATAAGTAACATTAACTGAGTATTTATTTATGTGCAAGACGATATTGCAAGTACTTTGAACAATATTCATTCATTTAGCATTCATTGTAACTCTAGAAGTAGGTCCAAATGTGCCCATTTTTTGATAAGAAACAGAGACTGAAACATACTTTTAAGACAAGATGGTGGAATAGGAGGGGGCCATAGGAACCAAAGGCAGGAAGATACAGAGTATAGGAGAAAGTATAAACAAAGGTAGTTGAGCTAAAATAGTCAGGAGTGTAGTGGAAGATGTGACTAGAAAGTCTGACTGGGCGCAGCTTATGAAAGGTCTTAAATATAAATTCGTAATTTTGGAGGCAGTAAGAGAGCCATCAAAGATTAGGGGCCAGGCACGGTGGTTCACATCTGTAATTCCAGCACTCTGGAAGACAGAGGCGGGTGGACTGTCTGAGCTCAGGAGTTCCAGACCAGCACCTCTAAAAATAGTCAGGTATTGTGGTGGGCGCCAGTAGTCCCAGCAACTTGGGACGCTGAGGCAAGAGAGTCACTTGAGCCTAAGAATTTGAGGTTGCTGTGAGCTGCGATGGACTCTACCAAGGGCAACAAAATGAGACTCTGTCTCAAAAAAAAAAAAAAAAAAAGAAGAAGAAAAAAAAGATTTAGAAGAGAAGAATGATTTGTACATACACTTTTTGTTTTTTTCTTTTTAGACACAATCTCACTCTATCACCCTTGGGTAGAGTGCTGTGGCATCACAGTTCACAGGAAGCTCAAACTCTTGGGCACAAGCAACCCTCTTGCCTCAGCCTTCCAAGTAGCTAATACTATAGGTATCTACCACAACACCAGGCTAGTTTTTCTATTTTTAGTAGAGATGAGGTCTCACTCTTGCTCAGGCTGGTCTCTGAACTGAGCTCAAGCAATCTATCCGCCTCAACTTCCCAGAGTAGTAGGATTATAGGTGTGAGCCACTGCGCCTGGTCTAATGTACATAAACTTAATTGGTCATTTATCCTGGGGCTAGGTACTAGAGTTATAGAGAAAAAATCCTTGCCTCTTATCTACTAAAACTTCCTGTAGGAATATAGAAATTAATGTATCCAAAATTAAACTCTTATTTCCTTTTAATCCCCTATTTAATATTCTTTCTCTGTTTGCAACTGAGTGCCACTATATCCTTCCATCCAGTTACCTAAAACAGCATATTTAGAAGAGACTCCAGAATCAGACTATCTACTCCACTTTTAAGAATTAGCTCCAATACATCCCCCTCTGGAATCCTACCATGTCTGTCACATTCTTGATCAAGCTAGACAACTGCTATTTTGTATCTCTGCCTTTCTGCCCTATCAGACTAGAAGCTCCTTGAGGTCAAGAACCAGAGGATCATTGATTATAAAAGCTGATCTAGGCTTGGCGCCTGTAGCTCAAGTTGCTAAGGCGACAACCACATACACCAGAGCTGGTGGATTCGAACAACAATGTCAAACAAACAATGCCTGCCAAACAACAATGACAACTACAACCAAAAAACAGCCAGATATTGTGGCAGGTGCCTGTAGTTCCAGCTACTTGGGAGGCTGAGGCAAGAGAATCACTTAAGCCCAGGAGTGGGAGGTTGCTGTGAGCTATAATGCCATGGCCCTCTACCTAGGGTGACAGTTTGAGGCTCTGTCCCAAAGAAAAAAAAAATAAAAAGGCTGATCTATGACACTGCCCAAGAAAAGGCCAAACAGAAGACTTCAGAATACGAACCCAGAACCATACTCCTAACCACTATCTTTGGGTTATTGGGTACATGACAATATCATTAACTTCAATGAATTATGTAGAAAAATGAGATAGAAGCACAGGGAAATATGGGTTTAGTTTTGGACACATTAATTTCAAGGTGAGTGTAGATCACACAGGTAAATAATCTAATTGTCAGAGATCTACCTGGTACATCTCTATAGCCATAAAACCTAGGACGGGACATGTTTACCCACTCCTTTGTTCAGAACCTCTGATGGCTTTTACACTGCCTGAAGTTCAACTCACAAGCTTCCTAACCATATCTGTTACTACTTTCCTGCATAAGCCTTCTAATTTAACCTTCTATTTTGTGTCTGTCTGGTATCTTTTTCCTTCCTGCCCAAATGCTTAACTACATGTGCATTTATTTTCTACCTTCAAGATCTACCTCGTTAATTACCTCCCCATATAACACTACATGGATGCCATAGTGTTCACAAGTTAATTCATGAAGGCTATGAAAGATCCTAAAGTTCTTCTAGAATCAAAGAAACACTATGCTGTGTCCCACAGTTTTAGCATGAAGAACATAATAATTTTTAAGTAGGCAATCCATGAATACTCTAGGTGACATATGTAGTTAATACATATTAATAAACAGTGAGAGTCCCAGTCCAAAGTAATTGTTCTCACCCCTCTTGGGGGGAAAAAGGAGTCTTTTGTTTGATAATTCAGAAGCTGGTAGATGACTGAACTAGAGAATTACCTCATTATGTAGAAATAATAGACCTTCTTGTAAAGACAACACAGTAACAAACTGCTGACCCTAATTCCCTTCTTTTTAATTCTACAATTAAAAGTTTAAAAAAAGAAAAGACAGATTCAAAGGACCATATTTCAACTCCTCATCAGAAAGGCCAGCCATGGTGGCTCATGCCTGAATCCTAGGACTCTGGGAGGCCAAGGCAGAAGGATGACTTGAGCCCAAGAGTTCAAGACCAGCCTGAACAAAAGCAAGACACCATTTCTACTAACAATAAAAAAATTAGCCGGGCATGGTGGTGCACGCCTGAAATCCCAGCTATTTAGGAGGCTAAGGTAGGATGGTCACTTAACTCCAGGAGTTAGAAGTTGCTGTGAGCTATGCTGATGCCACAACATTCAAGTCTGGGCAACGGAGTTAAGCCCCTGTCTCAAAAAAAAAAAAAAGTCAAGGCTGGGCATGGTGGCTTATGCCTATAGCACTCTGGGTGGCCAAGATGGGTGGAATGCCTAAATTCAAGAATTTGAGACCAGACTGATGAAGAGCAAGACCCATCTCTACTAAAAGTAGAAAAAAAAATTCCAACTGGGAGGCTGAGCCCAAGAGTTTGAAGTTGCTATGAGTTAAGACACCATAGCACTCTACCCAGGGCAACAGAGTGAGACTCTGTCCCTAAAAGAAAAAAAAAGAAAGGCAAAAATCCGTGTTCCCATCCTCACTACCAAACAAAATAATAAAAATAGGAATCTGATCAGGCACAGTGGCTCATGCCTATAATCCCAATACTTTGAGAGGCTGAGGCGGGAGTCTTGCTGGGGGACAGAAGTTCAAGGCTACAGGGAGCTGCAATAGAACCAACACACTGTCTCCAAAAATATTAAAAAATGAAAATAAAATCTTTAATAATCCAGAAAGCAAGAAAAATAAATTTTCAAGTTGGCAAGCCAAAGCTGTTTCAATACTAATGTCTAATAGTAGAAGAGAAAAGGGCTTTGCTTGCAAGAATTGTCTATGGGAGAAGGTAAAAGTTAACTAAGCTTCAAAAAGTGACTATGAGTGAGACTGAGGGGACTGAAATAGACTACATAATAGGTCCACTGAAAACAGTGCCAAGAGGCTTGGCGCCTGTGGCTCAAGAGGCTAAGGCGCCAGCCACATACACCTAACGTGGCAGGTTCGAATCCCCAGCCC